GTCGCAGCAGCCCGCAGAGGGACGCGCCATGCCCGGCTCCCTGCATCTCTCTGAGACCACTCTACTCCAAACTTTGATTTGCTTATCTCTTAAATGGGAATAATCATCTCCAAAGGGGAGGGGGTGCGGGGGGAGTGAGGATTAAATAAATCCGTGTGCATCTGCAGGTACCAGCACTGACTTAATCAAGAGCGTCACCTGGGAAGCTTGTTAAAAATACAACTTCCAAGATCCTCCCCTGAAGGTCCTGACTCAGCAAGTCTTGGAGGAGGCCAAAAAATCTGTATTTTAAGTATCACTCCCAGTTCTTTCTGTTCATAAAGGAAGACCAAAAAACAAGAGATTACAGGTCTGGGGCTGGGCAGTAGTAGCTCAGTAGACCGACATGGGACCAATCTAGGTTCACATTCTGGGACCTTCTGTGATCCGGGCTGAGCTGAGACTGGGGTTGGATGGCAGTGCAAAGACCCTGTTAGGGGGACTGTCTTTCTGTCTCTCTCATGGAGAAAATACATAAATAATATTTTTAAGAGGGATTAAGGCTCTGGCCCACAGCAAGTGTGCACTCTACAGCAGCCTTTTGGAGTGAATGGTAGAAGGGCATCTGGAGACCAGCTGGGAACATATTTTGAGGAGCCCTTATTGCTTTCTGACCCTGCTGGTTCAAGGGAAGACCAAGAGTGCCTCTCCGTGGGAGATTTGACAAAATCTATCAAAATTATAAAGGCATGTACCCTCCAACCGGCAATCCCACTTGGAAGAGTTTCTCCCATCAGACTTGAATGGATACAAATTAGACAAGGTCATTGGCTGCAGCATTGTTTGTAACAGCAAAAAATGAGAACCAATGGAAATGCCCATCTCTAGAGATCCAGTGAAATCCAGTGGTGGCATAGCCATAAAGCCAACCACCATGCAGCTCCTGGGTATGGACATGGAACTGTCTCCAAGGCACCCTGTTGGGTGAAGAATGCAAGGTGCAGACTAAGGTGTACAATACGCATTAGTGAAAGTGCAGAGAGCCTCTACATTTGATGGGCCTGTGTATGGGTGGTGTATTTCTGGGTAGACAGACGAGAAGCTGTAGCATAGTTCCCCCTGAGGAGAACGGTGGCGTGGGGACAGGGGCCTGCGGAAAGGTTTCATTACATACCTTTTCGGGCTTTCTGTGTTTTAAGCCATGTGCATTACCTATTGTGTGTACAATCTAGGCATACGAAACACTAGAGCGTTTCAAAATAACTTGTAAGTGTACGCCTATTACATTTCAATGAACGGTTCTTTAAAATAATAATCATCAAAGGACAAGACTCCTGTTTGTGAGTGCCATCTTTGTCCACTCGAGTTCCCCAATCCACCCTCCCCCAAGAGAAGGGGCGGGCGGGGCAGGGCAGAGAGAGGTGTTTGGGCCGGGAAGGGCCAAGCGCAGGCATTACTCAGACACTGCGTCCCTCCTACTGGGACACCATCCGCTGGGGAAGTGCATCTTATCCTCACCCTTGTGTCTCAGCTGAGACATCGCTCGTAGGAAGGCCTCTGTGACCCCTCCTGCTCCCTCAAGCCCCTCCGTGGTGCCTGATTTCCCATCTTGCTGCCTCCTGGCAGCCAGGTATGTTTTTCTTCCCTCACCCCCGTGCTCTACTCAGAGCTCAGTGAGGACAGGAGACACATCCAACTTGTTCAAAGCTGTCTCCCCAAAGTACAGCACCACGCCTAGCCCTAAAGTGAAGCTCACTGCAGACAGATGGAGGCACAAGGAAGTGGGTGAGTGAGGACAAAGGGGTGGGGGGGCGAAGAGCCATCCCCCAGGACCAAATGCCACCCACCCCCTGGACGGCTTCTCCCCACTCTCCTGTGTTAGCTCAGCCCTTCCTTACCACTCTGCCCCGGTTTACTTCCCTTCCTGGTCTATCGGATTCAAAATCACCTTCATTTACAAGAGGACCTTACCTGTCTTGCCCACCTCTGAATTCCCAGCCCCTACCGCAGGGCTGGACCCTAGCAGGTGTCCTGTGTTTACTGACTGAATTGATTCATACTGGACAGTGAGAAGGAAGGCGGGTAGAAAGGAGCCACTGAAATGAATTTCGTCCTGAGAGCGTTTGTTTCAGTGGACTCTGGGTAAGGTCCAGAGAACTGGAAGTCTCTAAAAGCTCCTCCAGGTGACTTTAAAATGCACCAGAGTTGAGAATCATTTATGTGAAGGTTGTTACGGACTTGGGGTTTTTCTGAGTGCAGAATCCCAGTGACTGTGAGAAATCCCACCCTGAATCTTAGGAACATTCCCGCTCCTATAAAGCAGACCTAGCGACCGGAAAGCGGGCTAGGGGCGGGGTAGGGGGCGACTCTGCTCACCTGCGGGAGAAGGGGAGGAAGGGGTTCGGGTGGGGCTGGCGCTCCCGGGAGCGTCCAGCCAGGAGTGAGTCTTGGCTCCATCTAGCGCCCGCTGGAGGCTCTGCAGCTGCAACATGCTGAGCTGGCGACGCTGGGTGTGGGTCACCGCCGCGGCATTCTCAGGTCCCAGGAAGGCGATCTGCTCTGGAGACAGCTCCTGCCTGAGAAAACGTGGGCAGCGCCTGTGGGGAGGGGCTCCCCGAATTTCTCAAAGCTCAGTCATCCACCCAGAGCCCGCATGACTGCCAATATCTATGTATAATTTGGGCTCCTCTTTAAGATATTTCCTTAAAAATCAGATCTCTTACTACTAAAATAAATCTATTTAAAAATGGAAAGTTTTAAATGGAAATTTACAAAAATGGAAAATCAGCAGGACTTACCATAATCAAGTATTAACTAGAAGCCAAAAGAAATAACATTACAATATTAAGTTCTAGATATATTTGTTGGTTAACTAGGTCTGAACCCCTGACCTCCTACAGAGAGAGAGAGAAAGAGAGAGACCAGCCATGTTAGCATGGGCAGGCACCACTGTGCAATGCTGGAACAAACAGCAGTCCCAGATTCAGGCCCCTGGTTGACCAGAATGCCAGATATACCCTCATGCATCAGTAACTGTGGCTAGATGGGAGATTGGGGGGGGGGGAGCTGGCCATGTGGCAAGACCCTGTAGAGATACCTCTCTCTGTCTTTCTCTTTCTTTCTCCTCTCAAGAAACATATGAATTAACTAAAAAAGAGAGAGAGAGAAGAAATGTTAAAGACATCCTAGCTCCAAATTGAGACTTCCTCCTTGAAGTCATCAGTAGCATTAAAGGAGGCTCACCATGTCACTTAAGGTTGTTTCATGCACTGTGAGGTACCTTCCCAACGCTTCAAGTCCTCCCCCAAGGAAACCCTGATGTGGAGAGGAAAGCACAGGCCTGAGGCCAAGGACCTGAATTGAGCCTCATCTCTGCTGCACTCGCTGTGTGACCTTGAGCAAGGTACACGGCCCCTCTCAGCTCTGGGACTAGTTACGGAATGGCAGAGAATTCATCTCCTAGGCTGGTTGGTTCTGCTTCTTTGGTACAACAGCCTGAACACCCTGCGATGATTCCTGCAGTGGAGAAACAGTGTGAAAATCTGCTGGGTTTGTCTGCTGTGGACACGCTATGTCTTTGAAGACTGAACAAGGTGTTTTCCAAAGTCTTCCCAATTCCAAGGCTTTGATGACTCTTCCAGTGGGACTGAAATAAGATGAGGGATCAGGATTCCGTTTCTGTGGAGAGGCCTCTAAAATCACCCTGCTTATTTTTTTGGAGCCCCAGAGAATCTGAGAAATGTGTGTATGCTCCTTCATCCTTTCCCCTCCTCTCATTCGCCCTCTTCTCCCTCCTATCCAAGTGGACACATCCCTAGAACCATATTCCTCTGCTTAGAACCCTCTCCTGCAGCCCCTCCATGACAGTACAAGCTCCTGAGTGTGGCAATGGCACCTTCAAGCTCTGGGTCCCACCCACCTCTCCAACCTCACTCCAGCACTCTGCACTCTGGGAGGATGAGCATCCACACTTCCGGACCCCAGGAGGCAGCATCTTTTGGCCTGGATTGTTATTCCTTCCTCTCTACCTGGCTAACCTGCCCTCCAAAATCCAGCATCACCTCTTACCCTCTCTCCTCTCCCCTCTCTCTTCTCTCTCTCTCTCTCTCTCTCTCTCTCTCACACACACACACACACACACACACAGTGTAGGTGCTCTTCTGGCTCACATCCACCATTCATGCAGAATCTGTATTATAAAAGTGATCTGTTTCTCTGATGTTGCTGATTCATGACCCATGGGCCAGATTGAATCTATAAACCTATTGCGCTGTGTTTTCAAAAATAAATTCAAATTGGCTGCCAGTGTTTAACTATCAGGAGATTCCACGTGAAAGTGAATATTTCTGGCTTTTTCCAAAAATAAAAATTAAAAAAAAAAAAAGGAAAATCCAGCAATACCGGGCCCATATGGTCACACCGCATTGCTAGAGATGAGAATCAGTCTCCCAGCTTAAACAGGCTCTCTGCTCACCTCCGTCCCTACCCAGCCCACCACGCTGCTGCATGCTGCCCTCCCGGCCCTGAAGGCACTGTGTTACCGCCCCATCATCAGCCCAGCCCAAGCGCACTTAGCCTGGCGTCTGCCACCATGAAGGTGGTCAATAGACATTTCTGGAATAGACACATTTCTGGGTTCACTTGAACAAGGAAGCCGCTACGACCGCGTTCCAAAAAAGCAAGAGAATATGTTTCGCTTAATGCCAGCGTCTAGGACCTAGCTGCCTAATCCCATGCACGGCCACAAGGATAGTTGTTCTGCGGCCTTGGGGATCCCTAGGTAGTGCGCGGCGCTGGGAACTGTCCAAGGTGCTGAAGGAGTTCGGAGCCGGCTCTCTTAAAATGACCCAGTGGTATCCTGAGACTTGGTCTAGCCTGGTTTCTGTGCGGTGAATAAATAATGTTCCCACGTTACCAGCAAGCAAGAACACCAGGGTCACACTCGCCTCATCAGAGCAGGCCGTGCCCACCCAACAAGCTCCGAATCTTGTACATGGACACTACACCCTGCTTCCCAACATCTGCAAATCCAGTGCCACCCACTCCATTTTTCCACCGCTATTTATTACCGCTCCTATTATTCTTTTCTTCCTGCTCTTATTTAGATCATGTAAAATGCACTTATTTAAGTTTATCTTAAAAGGAAACACGACACAGGTCTACAGTTCCTCTTCTGTAATTCTGAAGTCCAAAATAAGTCTGAAAACTAAGTTTCTTTCAAAGTTTAAGACAAAGTTATTTACCAGAAAAACCTGACCTGAGTTGATGTGAGGCTGTTTATTTATAGTCTCTATTTATCCCAATTAGTGAGACTTGTCGCAGATTTTTTTTCACAGAAATAGTAATGTGCTTACAAGGTGCTTCCCCAGACATCACTGGTGGTGTTATGTACAGTCTATGTACAGGGTGGTCTTCAAATCTGGAAAATTCTGATTTTTTTTTGAGAGGTTTTTGCTATAGGGCATGTGCGCTGGCTGGAAAGATAGAGACAGAGAGACAGAAAGTGAGAAATCACCCCCGGGGGGGGATGGTCATGCCACAATCCCTTCTTCTCCTTTCTCTTCTCAGGATCTTGGGCACACATGCACACATACCCGGCATGAGTTTAAGCCACCGGGTCCCAGACTCGAACCGCGGTCGACTACGTGGGAGTCCAGTGACATAACCATTATGCTAACTGCTGTTCCCGAATATTCTGATTTCTGAAATACATCTGGCCCCTGGTTTTGCACAAGGTTTATGGACCTATCACATGGCTAAGAATAGAGCATCAGTACCATTTGCTAGGAAGAGAAGGTGATCACAAAAATAAATACAATTTAAAGATAAATTAGAGGGGCCAGTAAGTGGCATAGTAGATAGGCACTGGACTCCCGCATGGCTGACTGCAGTTCAAGTCCTAGACCTGGCAGTTTGAAACACACCAGGCACTTGTGCATGTGTGCCCAAAAATTCCAAGAAGAGAATGAAGGAGAAGAGATTGTGCCATGGTCATCCCACTGGAGGGTGATTTCTCACTTTCTGTCTCTCTGTCTGTTTCTCTGTCTCTTTGGTGAGTGTACATGCCCTATAGCAAAAACTCTAAAACAAAACAAAAAAAAATTAAAAATTTAAATAAATCAGAAACTTCAAAACAAAAATTTTAAAAGCACCTAAAATTTTCTTGTGATCATCCATTGTTGTCATTCAGTGTTCCTCTGGCCTTATCAGTAGAAGCCTGGTTGTAAGTCCCTAGACCCCAAGGCTTGTCACCTGTTTCCCTGTGTGATTTAAGAAATGGGGTCAAGCTCTCATTCCTCCTTGAAGAACTGGGCACCTACTTTGAATATCTCATCAGGAAGGCACTTTATTGCTGATGGCTGGAAATATGGCATCAAATCCTTGTTGAGCATTCGGAGCTCTGCTTTAGTTAATCCAGCTGGGGGGAAAAAAGGAATCATGAGGGTTTAGTTCAAGCCATTGGAACTCCACTTGTTTTATTAATGGTGCTGCATAATGTGCAGATCTGCATGTTCTAGGCAAGCGTTGCTCCTTACAAAAGGCCCTGAAAATCACACTGGGGAATCAAGTTCCTTAATCAACTCAGAAAAAAATGTGGGTTGCATTAGCCCTGATTGGCCTCCTACGGTGAAATGTATGCCCAGAAGGAGCTTCAATTTACACACTGTGAGACTGTGTATAAACCTATTTAGAGACCAATTAAATCACATTCTATACCGGTATTTTTCAAACTTTAGCATGTATAAGAATTACCAGGAGAACTTGTTTGAAAAGCAGATTTGCAGACCTCACCCTCTGCAATTTTGACTCATGAAATCTAGGTTCTACTATAACACTATGGATGTTTGCTACATGTGGCCAGTGATTATTTTATTTCAGTCCCCAGAGTTAAGGGGACTGAACTTTGGAAAGGAAAAGAGATGCATGCTTAGGGTGCCTCTTACCTGCTATGGTCCCAAGCTCCTGCAAAACAGAGCTGGTCCACTTAGTGGGAACGCCAAACACAACTTCTGCCTTCCTTTTAAACTCAGCCAACACACGGGTGCTACAGAGGAGGGTCCCAATTCTGGCAATCACCAACCTGGTTAAGAGGGATGCCTATAGTGTAATCCCATATCTTTTTCATTCCAGAAAGGGGAAAGGCATCGGGAATGGAGTATATCTTGATGGACAGGTGGAAGAGTGGATGGGTGGACAGATGGATGGATAGGTTGTTTGCCATTTTGCGCACTAGGATTTTGGTTACCTGAATTCTGAGATCTTTATAAGTGGGATTTCAGTGACATTAATAGCACACAGAGTGGCACCGAGTCCTACTAAATGAAAACTCTTCAGATCCTGGATACTATAGCCTGAATCCTCCAGGAATCCTTGTAGAATGGATTTAGCCTATGAAGAATGAGAAAAGTTAGGAGATGAACTATCCAGAGGTGATCAAGACCTAAGAGGATATCTGAACTATTGCCATAGCCTCCCAACTGATTCCCCGCTGTACCCCTCTGGAATCACCCCTCCCAGCCAGCCCAACCACTGAAGTTTCCTAAGTTACTGCTTCAGCTGGGCATTTCTCTGATCTATGGATGTGTCCCTAGGCAATGAATCTTTGTGTCCTTCACCAACGTTTAAAGGTACCTATATCCTGTGTCTGTGTCTGCTGGCTTATTTTCTCTAGTCACTCTTATGACCTTCAGATAATTTGGATATTCAAGTTCTTCTGCATCAGAATCCAAACTTTTCCAGCATCTGTTTCTCAATGTTCCAACAAAATCTCACACTTTCCTGCCTCCCGGCCTTCACTCAATCCTACCCTCCCTTTGAAATGCCCTTCTACGTTCATAACTGTTAGATCCAACCATCCTTTTACTTTTTGGTTCAGTTCAAATATCACCTTTTTCATAAAAATTTCTTGACCATCTCAGCCAGAATGGATTTTTGTTCTCCCATGGTTCTACAGAAATATATTTCTTGCTCTTTAATTTTAGAGTGTAGTACATGAAATCCTTCCGTTTTAAGTATCATTGAGGAACATTTCCAGTGAGCTATGATTTCAGGGAGCTGATATGGAGGTCCCTGTAGTTCTGGCATAGGGGCCATTAATTGTCCATGACTTTCTCTGGAGAACCACTCCTCCCACTTTTTACTCCACGTGGTTCAGTTGGAGTTAACTTCACCCTGAGTTCCAGGATGCTGACACGGCCCAATCCTGGCCAATGAGGTCATCTCTTAGCCTGACTGCAGTGATTGGTTCTGGATAGAGCACGTGTTCCAGCCAGAGGCATCCAGGACTATGATTGGAGCAATTAGGAGAGAAGCAATTTCTTTGCTCTGGACGTGAACTTGGGAGGAACAAGCCACATGGAGAGAGCCTGCCCCTAAATGAAACCAACACAAAGGAAAGCAGAAGCCACAAAAATGGAGACAGAGGGATCCCTGGCAATAGTGATGAAGCTCCTAGAGCTAGCCATACCTGAACACTACACTTGAACTTTTTAGATATGGGAGTCAATAAATTCCTTTTCTTGCTCAAGCCAGTTTGTGTTGGGTTTTCTGCTACTTGTAACTAAATAAGTCCTGATTCATTTAATCTACCTATGTTGGACCTGAGGAAGGATCCAAACCAGTCCCTTGGAAATGAGCTGTATAATAAAATCTGAACCCTTCAGCAGTAATGAGGGCAGTAATGAGGGAAAAATGTTACAAGAGACATTAAGCAAAGAGAGAGGGAAGACATCCAAGGACAAGCATCTCCTGAGTGAGTGACGGTCGTGGGGGTAATCTTCTCATCTCCTTTTTTTTTTTTTTTTCTAGAGAGAGTTTTGCCATAGGGTGCATGCACTCACTGGAGAAACAGAGAGAGAGAACATGAGAAATCTCTCACCAGGGGGATGGCCACGCTGCAATCCCTTCTCCTCTATTCTCCTCTCAGGCTTTTGGGCATGCACACACATGCACTTGGTGTGATTTTCAAGCAGCCAGGTCTGGGACTCAATCAGTGGTCAGCCATATGGGAATCCAGAGCCTCAGCTACCATGTCACCTGCTGGCCCTTCATCTCCTTAAAATGTTAGTCATCCCCTCACACAATATTGGTGGTACAGTGTTGAAAAAAGCTGTTGAGTAAAACTGTGAAATGTTGCAGGATTCCATTTTTCATGTGACTGTTCCCTTCTCATCCCTCAGGTCTTTTTTAATGCTACTCAGAGAAGAGGACCCTGGAGACCCCCATCTCCCCTTTTCCATGAGCATCTTTTTTTTAAGTATTATATTTATTTAACTTTATTTATTATTATTATCATTATTATTTTCCAGTTTGATCCGAGAGAGACAGAGAGAGAGAGGAGGGGAGCCACCAGGTCCGAGACTTGAACCATGGTCGGCCATGTGGGAATCCAGTGCCTTTAACCACTATGCCACTTGCTGGCCCCTCCATGAGCATCTTATCTATTTTCTGCATCAGTAATCACACTGTTTAAAAAAGCTTGTCCCATGAGAGCCCACATTTCTGTATCACCAACTATACTCTCCAAAGAGATGACCACAATCATCTAGTTACCACTGTGTCTCCAGCACCTAGCAGAATGACTGCCACACAGTAAGAACTCAAAAAGGACTTTTCTTGGAAATGAATGGATGAATGAGCTTCTGAGTGAGTATACAGAAGTAATATGCAATATATACACCTTTAAAATGACATCATTGGGACCAGCAGATGGTGATTAAAGCAGCTGGATTCCCACATGACCAACTATGGTGCGAATCCTGGACCCAGTGACTTGAAAATCACACTGGGTGTGTGTGTGTGTGTGTGTGTGTGTGTGTGTGTGTGTGCATGCCCAAAATCTTGAGAGAAAAATGGAAGAAGAGAGATTGTGGCATGGACATCCCCTACACCCCAGATAATTTCTCACTTTCCCTTTCTGTGTGTATCTCTCTCTGTCTCTCTCCTCTCTGGTGAGCACACACATCCTATAACAAAAACCTAAAAGATAAATGGCATCATTTTGCTAACTTCACATGGTAAATTGCTGTCAGGGGGATTTCTTGTGGTTCTGCAAGTCAGACTGGTCATTGTCTTCATCAGGTTATCATCAATTATTCCAGAGTTCATAGCTCGCTCTAGGAGAGTTTTGGTAATCCCATGCTTAGACTTAAATGTCTGATTGGATGGGAGTGTGTAATAATAGCTAACATGTATTGAATGCTTCTGTGTGCCAGGACTCTTTTCACTACTTAATACATATTATCCCATCTAATCCTCTCAACAACCCTATGAGGTAAGTATTAATATTATCCCTCGTTCACAGAGGAGAAAACTGAGGCATAAAAAGGTTAAGTAATGAGATCTAGGTAACACTACTAGAACATAATGGTTTTCAGATCAAAACCCAGACAGCCTGACTCCAGAGCCTGTACTCTTAGCCAATGAAGATGTGTGGGTATGAGTAAGAGATGGAGATTCAAGTAAGCTTTTGAGTTTTTCTTATTAAGTCTTCACAATCAGGTTTCACCAGTTGACTCATAGCAATTTGTGCTCCCCATTATCAGGCATGCCTACTTTCAAATGAAAGTGCAAAAATACAATTCAAATAAAATTACTTTGAAGATGTGGTATTAAATTGTCCTTGCCACAGGAAGCCAGAAAATGCAAGCCCAGCCTGCAAGGTGATGAGTCAAAATATATTTCTTTGAATGACCGGGCCAGCGTATATATAATGACTCCAAGACAATTAATACGAACACTTTTAGGCAATATTAACCACTGAAAAATGAATACCTGTAAGATTTCAATCTCTCTGTTCATCCCTCTGGCTTTTATAATAGTTTTTTTCCTTATATTGGTTTTTAAGCTGAACTATCTGTTAATATAGTTCTGCCAGGTCTGACTATTAATCTAGAAACATGCATTTAAGGGTTTGATTGGGAGCTAAAGTTGAGGAACTGACTACAAATGATATATGCAAATGTTAGGTTTTCATATCTTCTTCAAACATATTGATAAATCTCACTGCCATCCCTGGGAATTAAAATTTGTGCAAAGTGAAAGAGATACCCTAGTTTCTAAGTTCTAAGTTGGATATATTTTTCTCTTTCTTCCAGATTGCAAATAGAATTATTTTAATATCAGAAAGGTGAGGTGGCACTTTTCAAACTAGTCAAAACCAGTTTTAGAGTCACAGAACCACAAAATCTTAAAGTTTCAGAGTAAAAGGAACCTGAAACTGTTGGCTTTAACCTTCCCATCTTAGAAATAAGTAGACTAGCCCAGAGAGAGGACGGGCAATGATGATGACGACAACAACAAAAACTTTTATTGACATCTATGTACCAAACATTGTTCAAAATGTTTGGCATGTATTAACTCATTTCATCCTCATGACAAGGACCTCCATGTTCCTCAACTCCAGGGGGCACCATTCACACTGCATTCTATTTGAATGGCACCACTCAGAGTTATGGGACATTGGAATCCTGATTACAAATAGCTTGTGAGAATAGGGACACACATGGGCTTTGCCTACGCATCATCCATTGTCCCTTTCTTAAATACCAACACCACACTTTTTCTTTGAAGAGCTATTCTGTGTTAGATTCCTGTTGCTGCTATAACAAATTGCCTCTAACGTGGTGGCCTAAAATAACACCGATTTATTCTCTTACAGTACTGGAAGTCATAACTCCTAAAATGAACCAGCAAGATGTGTTGTTTTGGGAAGAATGTGTTCTCTTGCTTTCTCTAGCTTCCAGAGGCCACCTGCACTTCCTAACTTGTGGTCTCATCTTCCATCCTCAAGACTAGCAGCATCGCACCATCAGATCTTTCTCCATGTCTCTCTGCTTCCACCAGCACATCATCTTCTGTATCAGTGGCACCCCTGCCTCCCTCTTGAAAGTATTCTTGTGAATACATTGGGTCCATCAGGGTAATCTCTTCATCTCAAGATATAAGGATGATGATGGTAACAGATTCATGGGTTCCAAGAGTTCCAACATGTACATTTTTGAAGGGCTTTAATCTGCCTTCCATACACCCTTCCCCATTTTCAGCTCATGTGCTCATGGGGAGATAGACTCCATTCTCTGCTGCCGACCTAGCCAACCAACAGATTCTACCCCTGACCTAAGCGATTGCTCAGGGGTGGTCAACTACATGACTGGAGTCAATGCAAGGACTTTTTCAAAAACTAGACATGTACTCATGGGGTTGATAATTAAAGAATATGTAACCCTAACACTAACAACAACCACTTAGAGACCACTGCCTGAGAATGGATTAGTAGATAACACAGAGGAGCTAAGACTTCCCTTTCCAGCAGCACAGTAGGTTAGATGCCCTAAACTTCTCTTCCAGTCAGAACAATCAAAATTCTGGGGAGAACTTCTTTTTTAACCCACGAAGTATTAACTGCCCTGGAATTTTACCTCCACCACACACTGCTAGAAAAACTAAACAAAATATCTAAACATGGGGACCAGCAGGTGCACAGTGGTTAATGTGCTGGACACTCCTACATGGCTGACCAAGGTTCAAATCCTAGACCTGCTGGCTTGCTTTCTCACTTTCTCTTTCTTTCTCTCTCTCTCTCTCTCCCTATCTCTCTCTGGTTAAATTAAATGAATGAATAAATTAAAAAATAAAAAATATCTAAACAACTGTATCTAGATACTGGACACCAGGGAGTACAGGACTGTTACCCTGATGGAAGGGGAAAAATAAATAAATAAATAAGGTGAGCTCTAAAATTGTCCTTGCTTGCTTCCCCAAAGACAATTTCCAGAACATGGATCAGGAAGAGGAATCCAAGCCTCAGAGTAGAGGAGTAGAGGAGTAGAGGATTCAGAGATCCAAGTTCGGAGAAGCCAGGACTCCTACTGTTGGTAGGACAAAGAGCTAGAGAGGAGGAAACTGCACAGAGTTTCAAAAACCTGCGGAGGTGTAGTCTCCAGTACTGAGTACTGGTTTGCACATCCAGGGAGTGAAACTCCACATAGGCAAAGAAAGAGTCATCAGAAAACAGTACACTGGGGTCAGCAAATGGCGTGGTTTGAGTCCTCGACCTGGTGGCTCGCTCTCTCTCTCTCTCTCTCTCTTTCTCTCTTGCTCTCTGGTCAAATTAATTAATAATAATAATAATAATAATAAAGGAACTAGCAGACGGCACAGTGGTTACATCTCTGGACTCCCACATGGCCAACTGCAGTTCAAACCGCAGACCTGAGGGCTTGAAAATCACTGGGTGTGTGTGTACATGCATACCCAAGATCCTGGGAAGAGAATGGAGGAGAGGTCAGCTCCGCCCCCCAGGTCGGGGGAGGTGATTTCTGACTTTCCCTCTCACTGTCCCTGTATCTCTCCCTCCCCGCCTCCACGAGAGCATGCACCCTAAGGGAGAAATCTCTTAAAAATAAATAATAATAATAATCAATAAAACTAAATAAATAATTCTTTTAAAAAACAAAAACCAGTACACTGTCCAATTCCCAGAGACCATGAGTGAAGAGTTGTTGAAACACACAGAGTTTTAGGTAGGGTCCTCAGAAGAAACGTGCTTCAGTAACGGGGAAAAAGTTACCCACAGGCTAAGGATCACTCTGGATTCACAATAATAAGGCTCAAAAGGAGGCATCAAAAGGAACAAACCGATTTGAAAGTAACTTAAAACGTATTTCAGAGAAAAGTCTGATATTCTTTAGAGGAGTATAACTAAACCGAACACTCAGCGGTGTAAAGTTAGTAATACCCATCATCCAGTCAAAAGTGCAAGGCCTACAAATAAGCCAGGACACGTGATCCACAACTAGGGAACACTCGGTCCATAGAAACAGGCTTTGAAATGACAGTGATGATGGGAT